AATAAAAATTATGGGAAATTTTTTAAAAACTTTTAACTTAATGTGATTGGTTGTAGTAGAATATCAAGGATTATGTAATAAATGATTCATTTATTAAAGTTAGATGTTAATATCATTGGATATTGGTTCAGTGGTTTAGAGGTGTAAACGTTCGAGATCTAGATTGATAAGTCCTGAGTCCGTATCTTGCGAGATAGAATCGTGAATGAGTACTACTACTAGAATGAAACGGTCATCCTGTTCTCTCAAGTTTTTCATGGTGATCTAATTTTAATTGACTTATGAACTAAACTATTGAATTACTATAATATCCACAAAAATCTCTTTTTCTGATTAATTTTTCTCAATAAAGTATATCAATGATGGATAGTGTCTAGCAGCGGAATCCAGGACGCGCGTTTCGTCCTATTTGGGACGTTTGAAGCGAATGGTGCTTAGTTCGAGTCTCAGAGTGAACATCAACTCTTAGATGCAGGTACATCCAGCTGACGAGTCCCAAATAGGAGGAAACGCGCGTCCTGGTTTCCACTGCTAGCCAATATCCATCATTGCTTACAAAAAGCTTGTGAATTAAGGCAATATCGAGGCATACGCACAGTATGCACATATGCCAATAACAGACTGAACAATTTCAGTGCTAAACATCAATGGGAAGATACAAGCCAAACAATACCAAATGAAAGTATGTCAATGTTGCTTTATATAAATAAAATTCAAAGTATATTATGTAGTTTCCTTTTCATGAAAACTTAAAATATGACTGAACACATATTAATAGGTTATGACTTGAAATCAACTTATACCGGTTTAGAAGTGTTGAACGTATCTATATGACTAGTTAACAAAAGTAGCCAATACTGTAATGAAAGCAAATTATTTTCTCATGACGAAACTCAACAAATCATTGATTTGTTCACTGACAATATTCAATAGGGTATTAACGGAACTTATAGAATCTTGAAATTTCAAGGAACAACAAAATTAGAATTAATTTTTTTTACTTACTGCTTATTACTATTATTTCGAATTGTTATGTAACTCTTTTATTGGAAAAGAAAATAAATTCTGATTAATTACAGAAATAAGTGAAAAAAACTAACAATTACTGAGGTACACACATAGTCACTACATAAATCAGTAGAATGTATTACAACTTAAGCTAATAGAATGTTTTATAAATTAATGAATTTAATACTAAGATCTCAAGACATTTATCATATAGAATTATTTATCATTAGTCTAGACTTAATATAAAAATGCTTACATAAGATAGTTACGTAGATTAAACAAAGATTAATAGTTGATATAAATGGAATCCAGAACTCTCGCATCGCTTCAGCTGGATGTGCCTGGATCCCAGAGTTAACATTCATTCAGGAACTCGAATCCAGAAGCTAGATGTAAAATACGATGACCTTTTGGAGTGAATGGTAGTCGGCTTGAATCTCGTAATGAACACAAATTCTGTGATCTAGGCAAATTTAGTTGACAAGTCCAGATTTTACTGTTAGCCAACATTCATCTTTGCTTAAAAACTGTATAATCACTTATTTGAAGGTCTTTTTAAAATACGTAACTCATTTAGGATGTAAAACGTAACGTTTTTGGCCTTGTGCTACACTCATTTATTGACAGTTATTTATTCTTCAGGGCTGCTTAAATTGGAAAAGTTATAGTTTGATTTCTATATATAAATCCGTTGTATTAAAAAAATATCTTTATTAACATTTATTTTCCCCTACATGTTATTATTGTGTTCTAAAATGGAATTATTTGTATAATCTTTCTAGTGCGCAAATGAACAAGTAAGATTCTTTTTATTACTTCTGAAGAAACTATCTTATTTTCACTGACTACCACTTGGAAATTATAATGTTCATATTTAAACTAGAAACAATAACATTATTGTGGATTTAGTTTATATAAAGTAAAAATAACGTGCAAATTAGCGCGAATATTTAAATATAATCAACAAAGGCAATAGAGATATAGAGAACATAATTTAATAAACCTATGAAACCATATGTTAATATATTTATGATTTATATTACATATGTTATTGTTTTTATCGACTCAATATGAAGTGTATTATCATATGTATTGGTGTGTATACTGATCGAAGCTATTTTCGTTTCTAAGAAAACCTGATCTACTTGTCAAATATGTAACAATTCGTTTTATTTCATTTTTGTATTAATCATTTGAATCTTCTTGTTGATGTTTAAGAAAGTTAACTGATCAGTTTCATATTGGTACATGTGCTTTCTATACGGATTGCTTCGATATTGCCTCAAGTCACAAGCAGATACATTCATTTGACGAGTCTCAAGTAAGACGAAACGTGGGTTTCGGATTCCACTGCTGACTACCATTAATTTATGCTTACAATGCTTGTGACTTAAAGTAATATCGAGGCAATCCACATAGGATGAATATATGCCAATAAGAGACTGATTAATTGCAGTTCGAAAAATCAGTAGAAAGATTAAAACTTCACCTCGATACACAAGCTAGTAGGCATCTGACCTCTGTAGGTAAGTGGATAACATGATGGTATTTGAGGCAAACAGTACTGGATTGGAGTGCTCGAGTAAACATCAATTTCGGGATGCAGGATTATTCATCTGACGAGTCCTAAATAGGACGAAACGTGGGTTAGCCACTATCCATCTCTGCTTAACATTTGATATAGATTTTACTAAATCACTACAAAATCTATAAAATTAGTGTTGTTAACTACTGATCAACTAAATGAAAATGTCAATCACAATTTCTTAAGAAACAAAATCTTAGGAACTTGTAATCATCTATCCCATTTTTTGTGTGTGTGCTTTGGTTATTTACGGCAAAACTATAAAAATTAATTATTTTTATTTTATCTGCTGTCACTTTTTGCTTTTTCTCATTTGTTTAAATCACATAACTGTATTACACAGATAATGTGAGTTTGACAGAGAATATGGAAGATTAAATTATTTACGGGCAATTGACTGACATAATTTTCTTTCAGGTTGCTATACGTTACATTAATTTTATAAAATAGTAGATACTTTCATACTAATCAAAACAAATGTTGGATTACAAATCAGTAACAGTAAGATTGTATTTTATCCTAATCAAAATATTTCGTATTTTTAGAATGAGGATTTTTGAAGATTGCAGTAATTTGAATAGTTGAAGTCTCTTGTGAGGGATCGTGGATGCGTACTGCTGAAAAGTCCTATACTAGAAAGGAACCGCCGTCCAGTGCTTCCAGGTTTCCAGTGGTTATCTATCTTAGATCAACTCATGAATTCAACTTTTAAAATATTTCGTATTTAACAAGTTTCCGTTATAAAACGTGACTCTACACTTTGTGTTACCTAAAACCTGATACAGACTTTGCAGATCTGCTTAAATGCTACAGAATCACAAAGAATTTAATCTCACAACAATAGGTACTTGTTAACCGAATGGTATTATTTTAATTCCCTCTTGTTCTATAGACAGAACAGTTTAATTACAAAGTTTTCTAATACACTTGAAAACGTCATAAGTGCATTTTGTTTCACAAAATTCAAATCAGTCTATCTTCATGATCGTAAATCTTAACTCTAATCCATAAACAAAACATGAAGCAAAGTCACTAAAATCTGTAATAAAAATAGATTTTGAATATCACTTCAATCCATGACTTTCATTTCATCCTATTTGAAACAAGTCAGCCGGATACTTCTGAACTTTCGCTTCGATCTTTACGTTGAAACTTAAATCAAATACTTATCTCTTTAAAAATCAAGGCGTTACCCATTCATTTGCTGTGTCGAAGCAGCCACTACATCCTTTAATGGACATTAATGTATGCATAAAAACATAAGCTTTTCAATATTATTATTATTGCATCTACTCAGTTCCCACTTCCGTACGTTTACCTTTAGCCGACATTGGCTATCTGGACTCAGTATTTTAGTAAATAATAAATTGGCCTACCGAAGGATATGTAGTTGATTCATTTTTTATTGTGAATATTGATACTTAAATGCAAGTATACTCAGCTGCCGAGGACCGAATAGAACAAAACGGGCATAGTAAATGTCAGCACGTACTTTTATGCAGCTTTACTAGAACTTATAACTAGAGACATCACTGGGATAGTGCGTTCATGAAGAACATACACCAATAGAGTTTAATTAAATATAGTCTTCAGTATTATGAACAAGAAAACCTCTTGCATATTTATAGAAAATCGAATAGGAATGTAATTTTCCTTTCTTCAGATATGATCATTAGACTATAATGTTCCTTGGTAATAGTAATAGAATAAACACTACAGTTCTCATGAATAAACTAAAGGTGATAACCTGTTGATTATTGCTAATAGTTAGCTGTTAATCAAATAGCACATCAAAATGTTAGTTTCACAAAATAAGAAATATAACTATCTATTTCATTTAGCACATATAAATATAAACATTTTAAATAATATACATCAGGAACTATCGCCAGTCATTGAAATTGTTGATTGGTACAAGTTTGAGATTAAGATCTGATAACCATCTTCAATCAACGATTCATTAATCCATGCTAATCTATGATGACGACTAACCAAGAAATGAAAAATCACCAAAATCTTTTGATTGGTTATCCAACTGAGTTTTTATTCAATTATCCTAAATTTGTTAAAAATCATGTAGGTTTAACTGATATAATAATATACTATTTTCAAAGTTCAAGCAATTACTAGTATTAGAAGAGGTTTTACGGATATTATAGTAATTTTAATAGTTGAGATCATCATTCAATTGAAGCTAGACCACCATAGAAAACCTTGAAGCACTAGACGGCCTTTTCGTCCTATTGTGATTCCGGGTTTTCTTTGGTGGTCTAGTTTCAATTGACTCATGATCTCAACTGTGAACATTGATTTCGATTTTTTTTATTAATTTCTGTTTGATTAAAAACCATTCATTTGCGTAACTCTTATACTATTTAGTTTAATGTCACTTTCTTTATTATTTTAGACTCAAACATCGAGAAAATATGATTCGATTTTCATCAAATGGTTTGATAAGATTGTATTTCACTCATCAAATATAAGTTATCAACTTCAAAATTGGTTTACTACTGAGAAGAGTTTCTTGAGTCAACCAATCAAAATGAATCATGCAAAACATCTATGGAAATCAAAAAATGAGCATCCATTATTAAGTGGATTCTATATTGAGTGGAAAACAAATGTTATTTCTTATATGAATTCCTATATGAATAATGTGTACAGTTTAAATCCGTATCAGTTTTCATTATTCATAAATCACAAGTAAGATCTAATTCTCAAATTAACTTTTTTAGATGTATACGTTTCTCCTCACAGGCGTTTCATAAGGTTTGATCAAATGAAATTCATGTCCATCGCAATTAATGTATTGGAGAAGAAACTCAACTCTACCGGTTTAAATGAGCTTAGAGTTGCTTAAATTCAGTCGTTTTAATCAAGCATGTATGATATAAAAAGAGAGGTATCGATGTTTGGTTAGATTTTCCTATATTTTCGGAAAACACATTTACTGTGAAACACTACTGTGCAAATAGTTTCCAATGAAACTTATATAGATAAATTTTGATGACTATTTTCATCACAGATTCTAACTTCTCAGTATTTTGAAAAATTGATATGTCGAGCTAAAAACGTTCAATAAATCATTACTTTTTGGAACATTCTTTGAATATAAATGGAGAAACGCCGACTAAACCCGCCGAAACTACAATTTATGGACGAACCAATCAGATTTACGACAACAGGTCTAAGATTTTAGCGCAAAATTTATTCACTCATTATGCTAAATAGGGTCTTGGCATTATAGTTGATATCACTAAGTGGATTTAAATTCACTCCATTGCACAAACAAGTGGCTATCAGGACTCAGTAGTTGAGTGGATAACGCGATGGCGTTTGAAGCGAACGGTACTGGGTTCGAGTCTCAGAGTGAACATCAACTCTGAGATGCAGGTACATCCAGCTGACGAGTCCCAAATAGAAGGAAACGCGCGTCCTGTATTCCACTGCTAGCCACTATCAAAATAGCTGATATCAGTTCGTGATGAAAACTTTAAATCTAATTCCAAACCCTAACCATCAACCATAAATCATAATCTTTATTCTTCAAACTTCTTTATAACCCTCATTTAGCCCCAATAAGTAGATGGACATTCTTAAGTATCGCCTAAAGTCGTCCATAAACTCTAGTCTCACCCTAGACACTAACAAGTACAGCACAGTATTTCACTATTATGACCAAGTGAATACATCAATAATTGTTATGTAATAAAACAAAACAGAAGTATTGAACATTGTGGTGTGTTTTTTACTAAATATTACATGTTATGTAATAAACAGTTATGGGATTTTCTTAATACAAAGTAGCATAGAAATAAATAACCAAATTAAAAATAGATTTATAAAATACAAATCAGTTAACGGTATCTAGATTATTTTAAAACCAACAATGTTGGCATAAAAAGAACTTTCTTATTATTGTATAGACTATCCTATTTTACTGGAGATTCCGCAATCATCGGAGATTAAAACGTTGATAAACTATTTGTCACGTATAAAGATTGTAAAACAAAATGTCTAATTTTTGTAATCAGAAACCTAAAATTATTTTTCACAAATGAGACAATTATGAGAATTTTTCTCAAACATTAAGAATCGATTGTAAGAACATTAGACTAATAATATTTTCAGAAAGAGGGTTTTGCGGAGATTCTAGTAATTTAATATTTGAATTCATCGGTCGAATAAAACTAGATCACCATGAAAAACCTGGAAACACTGGGCGGCCGTTCCGTCCTAGTATTGTGCACCTCAGCAGTGTGCATCCACGATGCTGCATGCCAAATACAGACCCGAGATCTTCGGTCTGGCATATGAACGCATATGAAATATATCAGAATCCGATTTCGCATTTCGTAATTATGGTATTTAAGAATCTGGTGCAGATGTGAAGGCGCGGATCAGCAAAACAAGAGCAGCATATTTACAATTGAAGAACATCTGGAACTCAAAACGACTGTCAATCAATACCAAGGTCAGAATTTTTAATACAAATGTCAAAACAGTTCTACTGTATGGGGTGGAAACTTGGAGAACTACGAAAGACATCTTCCAGAAGATACAAGTGATTATTAACAACTGTCTGCGCTAAATACTTTGGATCCGTTGGCCAGACACTATCAATAACAACCTATTATGGGAGACATTAAAGAGGAAAAATGTGTTTGTAAAATCTCGGAGAATGAATGGATTTACTTAAAATTCATTCGCTGAGATTTTGCAAATACATTTTTCCTCTTTAATGTCTCATATTAACTCGGCGCCCAAATATTGTGAAAATAATCGTTCAAATTTAGACGAAAGTTCTTATGTACTGTTATGGGAGAGAACAAACCAGATTCCACAGGAGGAAGAAAACAGGAAGAAGCGATGGAAGTGGATAGGACACACATTGAGCAAAGCAACCAACTGCGTCACAAGACAAGCCTTCACATTGAATCCTCAAGGCCAAAGGAGGAGAAGAAGACAAGAGGATAAATTGCACCGAGAAACGGAGACAGACATGAGAAAAATGAACAAAAATTGTACAGAACTAGGAAGGAAAGCCCATAACAGTGTGGTTTGGAGATTGCTGGTCGGTGGCCTATGCTCCATTGGGAATAACAGGCCTAAGTAAGTAAGTAAGTACATGAGGTATTCTTATCTTTAGCTCAATCATCGTATTCAGAAAGTATACAATTATACATATCATCATTTAGTGAACAGAAAGATGTAAGAATTCAATAAATAGTGTACTGCTTTACCTGTATCACACTTCCAAATTCAATCATACCTATTGACTAAAATTATTCCGTTGATAAATGAAAGATTTATTCATGTAATATTGATTTTATAAACAAAAAGCAAAGCACATAAACCTAAGAGTAAATAGCCTTTATTTTAAAAATCTTTATATATTCCAAAATGAATGCAATATCTTTATAATACGTAGTTGATGTTATTGAACTTCAGTTATTTCTCACAATTCTATAAAATACATGTAATACATTCTATAAAATACATGAAGATAATATATATATATATATATATATATATATATATATATATATATATATATATATATATATATATATATATATATATATATATATAATTTTTCAAATAAAATACCATCATCAATATTAAAACTGTCATTTAACTGATTACATTATGCGTTGAGACTGTAATTTATAGACGACCTTTAAACGGCGCTAGATCGACCTTAAGAGTGTCCATCTAATAACCAAGACGAAACGAGGGTTATAAACCTGTGTGAGGGATTAGGATTATCATTAACAGTTGATGACTAAGGTTAGAAATGAGATTTAAAGTTTTCGTCACGAACTGATATAAGCTATAATGCTAAAACTCTATTTATCCAAACGAGATCTATTATCTTATACCTGATTAGTTCATCCATAAATTATAGTCCCGACCATTAGGCATGTTGGGGACGTTAGATCCCCAGAACTTACTTGGAAAAGGATTTAATTTTGTAATTTTATTTAGAAAATTTGAATTTCTTCGTTTTCGCGCCAAAACGCTCTTTTCACCTTCATGTCGTATTTTCCATTTGGAATAATCCTAAATGCCATTGGTCCGTTGTGTCTTTTGGTATACTATTTTGTAACTCTCCCCAAGGACAATTTTGTGCTGTATATATACGTTTTGATTTGTGTCTGTTGTTATCGCTCGTTTTCTGGCTTTTGTGGAATATAATTCCCTATTCCAAGCTTGGACTTCTTCCTTTAGTTAGCGGGGCTGGGACGCATCGAATAGCTAGCTTATTGGTCTTTGGTTACCGAGTCTTTGTTCCGTTCGCAGATTAAGTGTACTCGTAACCGCTTCAAACCTAGCAAGGCATATCAACAAATTCTGTAAAGATAAAATTTAATAACTGAAAATGGGAAGAAAAAACTGTACACAATATTAAATTTAATTGTCAAGCATTAATTATTATGGTTTATAGTATTTGTTACCACATGGTTATTGTGAAATGTTCAATACACAAGTGAATAATGAAATATATTTTTTATCATTTTATTAGTATTCAATTACGATCAATTACAATGTCTACCATATTCTACAGGCTTAAATACTTTACAGTCATCTATTTGATATTAATGTAATTAATTCATCAATACACCTAATATACATTTATTTTTGTATCGCATTTCATTTCAATGCCTACTGTAAATATTCTACTTGCTTATGCCTGTTACGCCTAATAAAGTATAGGCCGCAAATATTCTATGCCTAATAATATTAAAACATTGATAACAAATACATTTGGCTAAATGTACATAACATGACTAATTATTAAATAAAACAGGGAAAATAAAAGTGAATGCGATTGGACAAAAATTATGTTGAAGACAACATAGTAAAATAGTTTACACAAATATTGAAAGAAAAAAACAAAATAAAAACAACAAAGACAAACACAATCAATGATGAAACATATTAATATTCATCATGTAAACAAAATCAATCACAAATAAGTTAACAGATTTAATACATTGTGTATTCTAGGGAGTGAGTTGATGAAGAGAAAAACACTGATAATTTCCTGAAATTTGTTACATTTGGAAGTTAACTTATTTAAGCATGATTGTGAGATGGTTCTTATCATTTGTTACAAACATTTTGCTTAAAAAAAGAGCATTCAATTCGTATGATTATTAGTTTGTTACAAACATCCCTCTGAAACATAGATGGGTGGTGGCTAGCTTTGGAATCGATGGTGAACAATTCGTTCTATTTGAGACTCATCAGATGGAGATGCCTGAATATACGAGTTGATGTTCACTAAGTCACTCTAAATCAGCACCATTCGCCTCAAATATTATCGCGTTATCCAGTTATTTACTGAGTCAAGACTACCACTAACTCGTGCATCAATGTGAAGATTAATTCATCTTATTCCAAACTTGACATTGACGTTTAAAAATGTAACTGACCAATCTATTATTCGCATATGTGCATTCTTTTCGGATTGCCTAAATATTGCCTTACATTACAAGCACCCATCTATGGTTTAATCCTTTTGGCTTAAGGTAAAATCAAGGCAATCCTCACAGGATGCACATATATCAATAATTAAGTGATCAGTTGCATTCCTAAACGTCAATGGGAAAATTCAAACAATCAATACAAAACGAATTATCAGTATAAGGTTGTGAGGATTATTACGTTTTTGATTGAGATCATGAACCAATTGATATTAGACCACCATTGAAAGCCTGGAAGCAATGGACGACCGTTTCGTGCTAGTATGAGATTCCTCAGCAGTGCGCATCAATGATGCCGCTCGCCGGATTACTAACATAAATTAATATAGATGCTAGAAGTGAAATATAATCAACATTCTGGTCAATTAAAAACATAATAATCTCCACAACCCCTATACTGATAATTACCATGGGCCCACTAGTGACTAGTTTCGTGAGGGAATTCTCGGAGTTCTGGTGAGAAGACGTGAATGGCGGAGCTAATCCGCGTCGGGTGGAGACAAGTATCTACCTCAGTACAATGGGAGATGGTCGCGCAATTCCATGGATTATTGGAGATTATACATTAACAGCGTTGGATACCGACTCAGTGGTTTAGAGTTTGATCGTCCATGTGCGAAATTGAAGGCCCTAGCTTCGAAACTCGCGAGTAAGGATCGTGGATGTGCACTACTGAGGAGCCCCACAATAAGGCGGAAAGGCCGTCCAGTGCTTCCAGGTTTTCAATGATGGTCTATCATTAATAGGTTCATGATCTCAATCAAAAGCAAACCGAAATAACATAGACTTGTTTGGATCTAACTAATGACAGTCTTATTCTAAATCACGGCTGTTATTTATGAAGAAAAGTCAACTTATAATTTGATTCATTTTCAAATGTATCATATGACAAATCAGTTTTTATAAAGGCAAATTCATTTACTTCACAACTTACTGGTTAAAATTGGACAAATTTACTTTAGAAATTCATTCTAAATATAGAATAATATATCTTAGCAACATTTATTTATTTGATTTACATACATTTATCATACTATAGATCAAAATTTTATACTTCTCAAACAGTACAACTTGTGAGTGGATCCTATGAAATTTTTGGTTATCAATCGGATAAACAAATTGATTTGAATTTTCATGTAAATAATAGTTTTAAACTTGCCACTGATTCCAATAATTTGTCAATAGAAATATTATTTGATCCGTGGAGTTATAATTATGAATTATTTAAATACATGTAAGTTTATAATTAAATGATTCACTACTGTTTTATCAGAAATGTGATTATTCGGATTGTGCGATATGAATTTTGTCAATTACCATGTATCGAACTAATAAATATTCTTGTGGATCTTTACTGATTGAGGTGTTTGCAAGATGTTCCATATTCCTAGCCATCCATTTTCTTAATATATAATATTAACTAGCATGAAACTAGGTCGTAAGAAGGCTGAGAGTAGTTAACTTAAGATTGTAGTGTCGGTTATTATGTTAAGCCCATATACCTTATTCTAGCTTTCGGACAGTCCAATCCATTCATTCTACTTGAGTCACATTTTGACTTTGTTAATTATTCGCTTGTCAATCTTGACTGAATTTATATGACCGTATATATATGTGCCCTTCTTATCCCATTCATCACAAGTCTGTAGCCTAATTTTGTTTGACTAGAAATATTGATTAACGCTTGACTAAACGGAGTTGGTTTACATGGCTCCACTGTGCGTCGTTTCACTCTCTCTTCCTTCTTTCCTTCGCTACGTCTCTGATTATCTGTTCCAATGAACGATTGTACGAAATATATGTATTAGGAAATCCATTCTCGTATTTGACTTATTTAATTCTGTTATTCACTAATGTAGATTAAGTCAATAATTATACACAAGGATAGATAACATGTATATTTGAATAGCAAACAAAAATGATCAAACTGGAGTCAGTCCATGCGCCACTAAATGACAACATAATAAATATTGATTGTTTAATTTGCCTTGTGTCGAAAAGTTATATCTTTCTATTTTGTATCAGAATTGGATGTCACATTCAATAATCAATTGCTAAACCGGAAATCAAACTTTCTATGAATTTCCTTTTAACTATAGTTTTTACTTAACGAAAAAGAAAACACATATGTATATTTCACTTCAACATTAGGATATATATTTTTTAAAATGTAATCAGATAAATCTATAATATCAGTATAGGGATTGTGGAGATTGTTAACCTTTGATTGAGATCATGAACCGATTGATGTTAGACCACTATTGAAAACCTGGAAGCACTGGACGGCCGTTTCGTCCTATCGTGGGACTCCACAACAGTGCTCATCCACGATCCCGCTCGCAGGATTCGAACCCAGGGCCTTCAGTCTCGCATGCGAACGCTTAACCAACTGGACCACTGAGCCGGCACCCAATGGTGTTAATGTCTAAGCTCAATCAATCCACGAGGTTGCGCAACCATCTTCCGTTGAACTGAGGTAGACACCTGTTTCTACCCTACACGGATTAGCTACACTGTTCACGGTTTCTAACCAGAACTCAATCAAAACTCAACAAACTCTACAACTCCTATACTGATAATTAACATGTGATCACTAGTGACTAGCTTCGTGAGAAAATTCTCAGAGTTCTGGTGAGAAGCCGTGAACAGTGGAACTTATCTTTTTTGGGAAGAGACAGGTGTCTACTTCAGTAGAATGGAAGATAGTCCCGCAATTTCGTGGATTGGCTGATGTTAGACATTAACACCATTGGATGTCGGCTCAGTGGCCAGTAGGTTAAGCGTTCGCGTGTGAGACCGAAGGCCCTGGGTTCGAATTCTGTGGGCGGGACCGTGGATGCGCACTGCTGAGGAGTCTCACAATAGGACGAAACGGCCATCCAGTGCTTTCAGGTTTCAGTGGTGGTCTAACATCAGTCGGTTCATGATCGCAATCAAATCTATAATAATTAGACTTGCATATAGAAAGTAACCTTTTTCTATGTTTCTACCTTAAATAATACCATTTTTTTAAATATTCAAATAAATTTTGTAGAAAAACTGATTTTTTCATGAAAAATGGTAAACTATATACAAATTTTCAATCATCAATAATAAATCATTCAATAAAAACAACTCTCCAACCTTTTAATTGGTTACATTTAAATATTGATAAGTACTGTAATTATGAGGATCTATACTCATCAATTCATTGGTTTCAAATCAATATAATTGAAATCAAAGGATTTTTATTCAAATTTAATTACTTATCTACTAATCATAAAGAAACAAAAAACAACATAACTGACAATATTCAACAATTAAATGTATCCATGCAACAGAATTATAAAGTAAAAAATAATATTTTCCAATTCAATATTAAGATAAAACAGGATAATAATGTACAACATGTTGATTTAAATTGTTTACTATTTCACAAAGATTCATATCATTTACAAAGTAAGTTTACACAATTTTATTTACATAAATTTCCACCTCCACCCCACCTCACACACGTTTGTTACCAGCTAATAATTTTTTTGAAAGTGATTTATAATTAAAAATGACTGAATAATTAATAATGGATTAATTGTTTGAGAATTAAAGTGTTAACATGGTATAGGTATCATCTAAGATAGATTATAAAATATTCGATCAATGAGATGGTGATGGTTGTGGTATGAAAAAAAACTACAAAGTGGATACCTTTTTCATCTTCACCTACACAAACATCAATTAATAGTTGAGTGCTATGATATTTTCTCGTTTATATCAATGCATTTGGATCAATTATAGACACATATTAGACTGGGAAAATGTTGTGATTTAGGATAGAATCTTGGCACCCAGGTCAATCAACAATCAACAGGAACACATTGAAATCGATCAAAACTATCAACCAATCAAAATAAATTATGGACAAATATAGGACAAGTTAAAGTTCAACAATAACCAATCAACATAGAAGTCTATAGAAAAAGCTGTAAGTCATATGTGAAAGAATTCGAACATTTCAATTCTACTTCTAGTTTGTAATGATGATGATAATGTTGTTCACAAGAAAGTTCCACAACTAAACCATCAAGCTCAAATAACAATACTCCACCAAAAAGTCAATCAAAGAATTAAGGAAATGAACAAAAATAAGGATTAAAAACTTCTTATTATATTAAAAGTTATTTAAACGAAGAATGGTCATTTCAATTAGCTCTCTTCAGGCTCTACAACTACATATATACATTCAAACTAATTTTCAAAAAAATTGACCAGGTTTAAGGCAAAATATATTGTTTGAAAATTATAGCACGTGGGTTTAGAAATGCAAAGTACGATTAACATAAAGTGAGAGAGATTATAAAGGAAAAATCACGTAATACGTTGAATAATATGAATTGGGGACGAATCGGTAAACAGGCGCGGATGCTGAGTGAGTTTATCAAAGCGTTTGCAAGTGTTATAATTATAACAATAGTAATAATAACAATAACGTTAAAATGTGCGATCATGATAAATTTGAGCCATGAAAATACAAAGAGGAAGATTGTATAATAGATAATCGAATTACATCACCATATCATCAAACGTTGGCCAAGGTAAAAGCAGAGGTTAGATATATTGTTTTATTGACACAAAGCTTTACTTTTTTTATCCGAATAGCTATTACATCAGGTGTCTGAAGGATTACAAGTCCGATGGATTTGGGCAGACTTCTGTTAACACTATATATTATTGTAAATGATTGCTCCATGTTGCCTATATACTGTGTTTGCACTAAATGAGCTGAAATCGAGCTTCTGACAGTTTTAACTATACCTTTGCTTAACCACACTATGAGGTTAAACAAGAGTATAGTTAACTTTTGATTATCTGGGTCACTACTTAATATAAGAATCAAATTTCACTAGTCCCTATTAGGTAAATTCTTTTAGGCTACTCGTTGTTTTTGTTTAAACTGAATTAAAATCTTAGATTTATCAGGTAATAGTTTACAAAAACAATCTAGGGTGAATACAAATAACTAGCTTTGAATCTTAAATAAAAGCTTTAAATAAAAAGGCTACTTTTAGAAATTCGACAAACTGTAATCACAAAAGTATCACAGGCTGAGTCAATTACTTATGTCAGTACAGGGTTGTGGAGATTATTAAGTTTTTTATTGAGATCATGAACCGATCGATGTTAAACCACCATTGAAGACCTGAAAGCACTGGACAGCCGTTTCGTTCTATTGTGGGACTCCTCATTATTTGTATATTATTCTACACCGATTCTTAACAAAATCAACTATTTACTCATTCTCCTATTACCTCTTATGAAAAAAAATTTTACATTACAGTAATTTGTAAGACACAGTATATCACTTGATTTACATGAGCATAAATGTAAACAAAATCCAACAAATTATCCTAATATATTCGAAAACACAATCACTTTATCCATTCTAACTACCCTTAAAGATAAACTATATTCTAATCAATGTTATTAGACATATAAAAATAGACTTTTGATCAGGTTTTACTTTAGCATAATTACTAAATAATAATACTTTATTTATTATTACATCATCTTACTAATTTATTATAATTATTACATAGTTTGATAAACAATCAAGAAGACATTACCAAGAAAACTTTCTTAAAGATGATATAAATAAATAATATATTTGTAATATCTCGCAGGGAGCGAGGTCGTGGATGCGCACTGTTGAGGAGTCCCATAATAAGACGAAACGGCCGTCCAATGCTTCCAGGTTTTCCATGGTGGTCTAGCTTCAACTGACTCATGATCTTAATCATTGAAATATCCCAATAAGTTGAAAAAAATAGATTTTCTGACATTTCGTAACTCAATGTAAACCATTTCTTCTTTGAAGAAGTTATTTATTTTTAACAATCTACCCAATGTTTAATTTATTCAAAATGATCAATTCAAACCTTGATAATGATACTTACAAACTCATGAAACTTTGAAAAAAAAGGAAACACAACTAGAAAAATAAAATAACCATTAAATTTTCGATATATCAGTAGTATTCAATGAAGCGAATAAATGTAGTTTATACTAAAGAACATAATTCATTAGTTACATTTTTTGTTTAAAACAAGTAATTGAGATAATGGAGAAGATTTGTTGCTCAGGTGGATGATTTTGATGAAGTTTTGTTTTCAGACTTGTAACTGAAGTTCGTGCTGATGATGTCGTTCAGAAGAACGATGAAAGCTCCACGACCAAACCATCCAGGTCAGAGAACAAAACTCCATCAAAAATAACTAAATACATCAATTACAATTACAAGTTAAACTGTCGATAATAAAAAAAATCAATAATAATGAAAATTATTGAAAAACGAAATGTTTTTTTCTCTCTCAAAGAATATCACATTATAATTTATATTTTTAAAAGAAACCCCCCTTTAATTCAAACATAATAGACGAATTCATTATAAATATTATTATATAACATTTTTTGTTAGCTCAAAAATAAAAACTGCATTATTACTAATGGCTTTGTGTAATATGTAAATACAATAAAGAGATTATATCCCATGAGTGATTATTTATTAAATATGGATCCATAACTATTCAACGTTAATAACAGTAAATGAACTCGGTTTAAATGAGAATGTATGTTTAATTACAAAGCTAAATGTCTGGAAAAATAATATTAATACTATGCAGAATAAATCCCTTTTTACAAGAATAAAAAATCAAATGAGATAAAAAGTAACTGGAAAACAAAACAAAAAGAATGAGAAAACGAGACAAATACACCGTATTATCTAGGATATGATGAAAAAATGTATTTAATATCTGATATAAATAAATACATCTTGAATAAAATATGTTTAACAGTGTCAAATGGTTCCATCAGAAATGAAAAAAACATTTTAATAAAAACGAGAACGATAGACCTTGGGTTCGAATCTCTTGACGCGGGATCATGAATGCACACTGCAGAGGAGTTCCACACTAGGACGAAACGGCCATTCAGTGCTTCCAGGTTTTCCATGGTGATTTAGCTTCAATTAACTCATGAATTCAACTATAAAATTAAAAGAATTTTACTAAATTTCCATGTTTATAATGTATAAATGTGCTAAAATGTCATAATTTTATTTTCGGCATAATTTAAGTTACACTTGTTACCATTTACGGAGAAGCATAGACCAGGCACTATCATTCTCTATCTAACTCTGTCCTGATAAATCCTTTCTAGTTTCTATTCATCCTATTCATGTCTGCTTTCAGTTCTCAGAGTAATGTATTCTTTGGCCTTCTTCTTTTTCGTTTACCTTTAGGATCCCAAATTAGCACTTATCTCATAATGTGGTTTGGTGATTTCAATATATATCCTATTCATTTCCAAAGTCTTTTCCTAATTTTCCTGTCATCCAAAAGCTGAATATAATGTAATCTAAAAATTTAGTGAATAAATCTTAAAAATATATATATGAAGATCACCATTCTTACAATTATTGAAAAGCAGTGTAATATTTTGTTACAAAATTTCACAACAAAATTGTTTATTTGTGCTTCAATCTAATCTCTGAGTTGTGCCTTACTTAAAATAAGCATATAAAGTGTATAATTTAGCTTTGGTTTTTAAAAAATCTACATAGTCAATTGTTATGTACGCTTCGCTTATTATCTATACCTGAAAAATGAGGAACTACTGTACTGAACAAGAATACGAGTGAGGACAATCAAATGTATCTGACACGAAATTACAGGGCATCTCAATAAAATCTGAGAACCATATAATAAATATTTAATTTACAAAATATCAATTCATAGTTTCAAACTTCACTGTTCCTTTTGCAAATATCAGTCCATTGTCTCAGATTTCATTGTTCATGCATTTTCATACCAATTGCGTTTCGCTTTCGTTCTTTCACTATCGATCTTCTGCTGAAATACATTCTATGTCTAATCACCGCTATATACCACTTATATGGATATAAGTAACCCACACCATACTACTACAATTTTGAAAACACAACGACCTTCATAAAAAATTCACTTATTTATATTTTGATTTTTGATTTTTTTCATTAATAAGTACATAAAAGCACATATATAAAAGTGCTCAGAACTATAACCAGTCATATTGTGCGTATCATATTAAGCGTAGTTTATGTTAATTTAATGCAACAATATCATATTTAGAATAAAATATCCCATCCAAATGAATGAATCTCATATCAAATAAAATATCCCACTGGAAAACAAACACTACATAGAGTAATTATCATACTGAATTTTTAAAAAAAACGGAGGAAATACTGATGAAAAAAATCAATTCGATCATATCAATTTATTTAATCAATATGTTTATTTAAACGTAGATAATTTTAGATTTTTTCTTTTCTTTCTCTTTTCAATTTACATTGATGTCGTAGACATTGGATTAACAATTTTTTCATTTTGCATTTGTATTCTATCCATTATCATCACCATCATCGTCATCATCATCATCATCAGCAGCAACAACAACAACAAAAACAACTTTACACATCTGAATGAAAATACCTTTTTCTTTAATGCATGTAATATAATTTCTGAAGTACAGATTATACATCGAATACCATGAATGGAATATCTTGTTGTTTGATGCATTTTGTTTTTTTTTTAAAAATGAATGTAACTATAGTTAGAACCAACTTTTTCTTTCTTCCCTTTTCTTCTAACATTCATTAAATGCGATCAAAATGTGGTAATGTCAGAAGAAGAAGAAGAAAAAAATACGCTCTAGTCAATACTGTTTATTTATAAAAGTATTTTATATTCAGAACTTATGAAGTTAACTTTCAAGATGATATATGTTAATTTATGATTATTATTATTATTATTCCTGATTGTGGAATTTATTCCAAAATTTTAAAATAACATTATTCGGTTTTCATGTACTAAACTTTCTTTTTTCTTTATTGTCTGGATACATTATGGTTATAATGTTGAATAGTATTTTAGAACTCCTGTGGTTTATTTTTACCTTTATACCTTTGTTGTTGTTTTTTTCCATCTTACATATGATTGATCATTTCTAAATTGTTCTATTATTTTGATTAAACTTTTTTTTACAAAATAAACTAACATTCTAATTTATTCCTTTGATATTTTGTTTTAAAGAATATTGTAGTAAATGAGAACATCAATGGGGACAATTAAATGAATCTGAACACAATATTACAGAACATCTTAGGAAAATCTGAGAACCATGCAGTAAATAATTCATTTGCCAAAATGCTAACCAATTGTCTTAGACTTCATTATTCTTTCGTTTCCACACCAATCACTTTCTGTTCTCGTTCTCTTTTCATCGATCTTCTTAATCTTCTGCTGCTAGATATTTTACTTTTGATTGATGATGCATACTACATATATTTGTCAATATCAGTAGCACGCATTATAATATATTTCCAAAAATTATTCATATGACATTAAACAAAATTGTTTTTTACTTCGCTAGAAAGTTTTAAATAAAGTTATGATGGAATTCATGACATCTCTATCATGAAAGTGGATAAAAACTTTTGTAAACGTCTATTTATATGATATAATTTCCAAAGTTTATATATTTTGATGGAGTTATGTTCACTGAGCTGGATGTTTTGGTCGTGGAGCTTTCGTCGTACTTCTGAACGACATCATCAGCACAAACGTCAGATAGAAGTGAAGCGTTCGAATTTATTTTGTTGTATCTCCCATACAACCAAGACAAAGAAGTAAACAATGAAAAGTTTAAGGTCAACAAGAACCAATCAACATCGAGGTCTACAAGACAATCTATGAACCACGTAAGGGGAAATTCGAACGTTTCACTTCTATCTGAAGTTTGTGATAATGATGTCGTTCAGAAGTACGACGAAAGCTCCACGACCAAACCCTCCAGGTCAGAGAACAAAACTCCATCAAAATCATCCATCTGAGCTACAAATCTTCCCCACTATCTCAACGTTTATATATATATATATATATATATATATATATATATATATATATATATATATATATAGGCAATCAGACACATAACTTCATTTGACAATAAGCTTGTGAATTAAGACAATATTGAGGCAATATATACACTATGCATATATGCCAATACAGACTGATCAATTGCAGTTTTAAAACTCAATGGAAAGATTTAAGCAAACAATATCAAGTGAATAAGCTAAATCATTTCTTTAATTTAGAACTGTATTGAATTTCATTGAATATACTTTCATGTAATATCAATTTGTGTAAATAAGTTACTATAATCTCTAAACTTCATTTACGAGAAACATGTTTTACTATTTCATAAACGTTTAATCTTACAATTCTCACCATTTTATACTATTTTGTAGTCCACATTACTGAAGACGGTTTAATACAAGCAATAGGCTACTTTAATGAACAAAGAGTGATCAAAGCGAATGGAAGTTTAGAAGTTCAAGGGAACGATACAAATGCAAGGATACATCTTCATAATCCTTCCATATTTTTAAATGTTAGTTTTAAAAAATACAACAATTCTTTTCTCGTTGTACAAGCTATTAGTCAAGCTGATCATTATCCATTCCAATTCAGTTGTAAGTAAAATTTGTGAAATTATTATTATTATATATTGATGAGCGTGCAAGATAAGAGGATTATTCATCCGCATTTAGTTGAAGTTTGATCCATTGACATATTTTACAGTTAACAATTGTTATTTCATTTCAACTACTAGGTAATTTAATGTATTACGTAATTCCAATTATCTAAGTTAAAACCGATTTCATCAAAATATTTAGTCACTTCGACTAATGTTTATATTACAACTTTAATCAAAGAATCCAATGGAAAGTAATAAAAAAACAACCAATTATTGATTATTATCAAATGAATGATCAAGGTAATTATAAACTGAAATGATCTTTTAATTTATTCATACTGGTTTATGTTCAACAACATTTTATAACTTTAGTTACTGAGACAAACGTTATTTGATCAAATTATAAACTGATAATAATATAAAACAGGGCTGTAATTCTGTTTGTTGTAGTGATTACATATATATAGTATATATTTTTTGAACAAGATATCCTTATAATGTTTAATGCTGTATAATGACTCCATACACTGTATATAGTTTATATTATTATATAATTTGTCTGAAATTGACAGATAATATAAACACAACTAGAATAACATCTAAAACCTGATATACCTTTCTTTTTTCCTAGGAAACGAATAAAACTTAACTGAATATAACGATGTATGATGTTCAATACAAATGTTTACGATCTATACTACTAATACTAAGTGTTTTCTCTAAATGATACCTTTATATTTTTTATTGGTATTCTGGACGGCAACTTCTCTAAAAACAAAAAAATAAAAAACAAAACAGTAATTAAAGTATCAGTCTTGTCTATAGAACATGTTTTTTTTAAAAAACAAAACAATTATTATGTTGAAACATCCGTAAAAGTCGGCTTAAAGTACTTACATTTAGTATTTCTTATTACATTTGTAGATGAAAGACTATTCTTTATCATTAAATGATGAGTTAATTTAAAAGTGGATTTTATCTTTGACTTACTAAAGTAAACTAATAAATAATAATATATCAAATAGAAGGAAAAAAACAAACAGATCTTTCTTCTACGTGAAAAGAAAAACACAGTTTTTGTAAGTAAACATTACATTTTGTATATAACTACATTTAGCCGAATAAAGTACTATTTCAAATGATTATAACCCTAAAGAAGTTCAGACAAGTTAACTGGACGAAACGTTAGAATTATTTAAATTTCAATCGCTGAGATTAATTCAAATATAATTTTCACACATAATGCGCACACTAAATAAAGTGCTAGTTAAGTGAAAATATTTTAATCACTGATAGAAAACGATTACGCAATTGTTTTTATGTTCATTTTTATTGTTGACCAAAACTTTTGAAAAGTAGAAAATTTTCAATAACCATCTTACCTTATCTTCAAATGTTTTTTCATTATTTGTTTACGAAATCATAGTGATTCTGATCTGCAATCTTAAACAACAAAATAAGCTTTATATATTCAAACTAATAAGTGAAATGATCTTTGGTCCGTATTTGTGTACACAGACCAAAAACAAAATGTAATATATTTTATATATCTGATTCTTAGTAGTCTGTCACTTGTTGTTCATTAACTTTTATTTTGTCAGTAACAAATGGTGTCTAGCCAAAATGCACCTTTATGAAGCTCGAAAAATATGTTTAAACAATTTGATGGATATCGTATTAGGAATGATCGAGTAGAACCTCATATAAATGAATACTCGAGGAAAAAATCTGTCCTAATGATTATAAGAAACAAACAATTTATAAAAAACACCATCATTCATATTTCCCTTAATAGAGATGATATTTCAGCAGGATATAATAGGAGAATCATAATGGTATCGAAAAGAATCTTCATTATGGCTCAACTAGTTTTACTATGCAACAATAAGTGTTCACTATGTTGCTCAGAAATAACTCACTTAAAGTTTCATTTACAAATTTAGATGTGACTACAGTGGAAGGTATATGAGAAAGGTAGGGTAAAGAGTTTCTAACACGCTTCCCGAAACTTGTATGTGAAAAGACCGAACATTCTTCAGAAGTGTAATAGCTAGGTACTTGATAGATAGTGGACATAATGTGGATATATATGAAGGACTTTAAATAATTTTAAAAAATCAACTTACATCACTTTTACTTCATTTTTGAGAAGCAATTGTAATTACGCTTTTCCAACTTGACATTTGTATATGGGAGGAAAGAATGTTATACCTTTCTTTGCCTTGGTGATTATACTTGCAATTAGGTAATTCATTGGTTTGCGAAAACTCATTGATACTCATATGGTAACTTGATTTGGTCTCTAATTACGTCCAATAATTTCGCAATCATATAATAATTTCATTTATACCATTTAGTTCGCTTTTTCTACCTCATTATTATTACTAACTATAAAACCACTTCTACTCAGTAAAATGACTTTTTTTCTAACATATAAACACGCATCAATCTTAACGACGTTTAACCACACACAATTTCTGCTCTTTTCATAATAATTTCTTGTTTTATTGTAAGCAGAGATGGACGATGAATCGTAGAGAAATCCAGGAGGTGAATTTTGTCCTATTTTAGAACTGGTCAGCTAGATGTACCCGCATCCTCGAGCTGATGTTCACTCCGGGACTGGAACCCAGTATCAGCATCGTAAATGCACAGTTCTGAAGAGTCTTATACTGCGACGAGACAACGTTCCTGTGCTTCCTCGTTTTTGCTGGTTCTTTATCAATAATTCCTCCAGACATTGAGTTAAAGTATTACTTCATAGATTTTCTTCTGTTTTTTCAAACTATATTTAGCATTACTACTAACAAACTAATTCAACTCCCTTATTTATTTTGTTGACTTCATCTCCTTATGATAAAGCGATATGACAATGTGACCCAATTAATATCTTTGCTATGCTCTGTGTTAATTAGGATCAATATATTGCATAATTTCTGTCTAAAAACAAGAGGTAATGCATTGGATTAATGATCACACTTTCTTTGAAATTACATAACTTACTGATTAAAAGCTTATGTAACTATCTATTCGAGTTTCAATTTGAAGCTGATTGTTAATAATGTCTCCCGATGAGATAAAATGAAACTATGTCTGAATTTTTTAAAGACATAATTGGTGCTTTTTACAAGATATGATGAAGAGACCTTTTTCAAATAAGGAAATTAACATAAATTTAAGAGAAGCGGAGATGGCATATACATCAAAACATTGAGTTGAACATATCAAAAAATATCTAAGCTAAATGACCCTAAACACAAACAAACAAAATATAAACATTTACAGTTCACAGTACTATAGAAAGATATTACATTTCAAAAGTTTTTTAAAGACAACACGTATTTTGTCTATAGTCCAAATTACAAAAAAACAAACAAACATGAATTGTCGTAGTTAAATGTAATCCCAATAATTATCTGAAATAATTTTTTATATGATATAAGGTTTAGAGAATAGTTCCTATGAACAAACCAAAATAATAATATGAAGTTAATAGATAATTAGTAGTAGATAAGTGATTTAGTAATTAATAGATACAGTACAATATAAAGCAACTTATTCATATCAAAAGATGTTATAATCATTATCAATTTTCTTTTTTATCTCTAAATAAATCACAATATAATTCATATATTTCAATAAAGCTATAATTTAGATATATTTTCGTTACACAATTATTATTATTGATGGTAGATTATATTCAAAAATTGAAATGTCCAAGATCTTTGATAGATCTGCAGTTGATTATTTAACAAGACTATAATTTATGAACAAACCAATCAGAATTAAGAGAGCAGATCTTGGATTTTGACACGAAATTCATTTATTCATTTAGCAACATATCTTTTTGACATTATAGCTAATGTCAGAACTTGATGAAAATATTAAATCTAATTACTAACCCTAACATTCAACTACAAATCATAATTCCTCACGTTAATATATAGCACTTATTTAACCATAGTAAGTAGATGGATATTCCTAAATCATTTTAGCGTTGCTCAAATGTTGTCTATAAATTTTAGTTTCACCGATTATTCAATATAAAACCTGTAACACTATAAATAAATGACAGTATTAGTTGAAAGTAGACTCTTAATTAGACATTTAGAAAACTTTTTTATTGGTAATTGATGCAAATTGACAAAGGACAGATTGAATACGTTTCACAACAATAAAAATTTTATTCCCTTTTCCAATGCTCAACTTAGTTATTGTGCATTTTTTTGGACGTTTCCCTTTTAGTGGTTACACTTATTAATGTGAGACTTTTCTAAATCAACCTATCACTGGTCTCCTTTTCTATGGATATCGTTTACCTTAAGGTTCACATAAATTCTTTAGATAAATGCAACCTCTTCTGATAGTTTTAAAGGGGTTTGAAACTATGGCAACATAATGAGTAATGGATAATTGCGTATACATTTTTTTCTGTAGCGTCTACTCTTAGCAAAATTCATTTTTACTTGTTATTTGATCAGTTATACCACAAAAGTTAATAAACAATACAACAGGATGTATTAATTTTTTTTAGAACCCGAAGACAAAATCCTTCCTCGTAACTGAAGACGAGAACAGTAAATGAGTGCTAAGCTTGACGACAACTAACTTAACTACCTGTAATGAAAAATCTTACTCCACTGTCATTTCGAGCCTATTGGCTACATGTAAATCTCATATTCATAATCAATTCAGTACTAAAAGCTCAAGTATCTGACAATCATCCTTAATCATTGTTAAGTTAGTGTATCTGTCCAAATCCATGAAGAGGAGACCTGAGTTGGGTGACTGTAATAGCAAAAGGTTTGAATATTTTATGTAGTATCAGTTATGTGTTAATAATCATGTTCATGATATGTTGATTAACTGTTATCAACTATCATTAGAGACCTGAGAAAAATAAAAAGGTAAAACATATAGTCGATAAGTAAAAAACCAGTTTGATTTAAGGTTACACAAAAATTCACAATTATTTGATCATTCTGTAGTAATCAATTTCATTTCTGTCTATTCCTTTGATAGTGATAGAATTCTGTCGACCAAAATTCACAGTGACCACTAGTTCAAGTGGAATTATACAGAATGCAATATTTCAAAAGTAATCAAGTCACTTAGCCTACTGACCACATTGAACTTCGATTAATACGATTCTATCATCACTAAACGACTGGATGAACATGACATTAACCAATATTCAGTAATAAATTACTTGTAAACAATCTCAGTACTTTGAAGGGAGTCCATTCGTGTCTCAACCTCTTGAGCTCGATCATGTGTCATTAAATTCTCCAGAGATTACCAGTTCCTTCCAGATGGCAAATACATTTGACTGTTAAATTTCAAACAAGATAAAACTTAGGTCCAAATTTTTCTAGCACTGGATGGCCGTTTCGTCCTATTGCGGGACTCTTCAACAGTGCGCATCCACGATCTCGCTCGCAGGATCAATTCATTGAAAGAATTGAATTGAATATATTCAAGTTTTAAATGTTCCATTTTTTTCGTTTTCAAAAATTAATTAACCTGACGTTAATTAATAAAAAATAATTATGTTTACTTCTATCTTTTTTTCATAGTGATTAATTATGTAATCAATGAACAAAATTTTAAAATGTTAACAATCAGTACATTTCAAACATCATTATATTTGAATGTATCCAATTATTTGAAAATATATTGGAGTATTAATTTAAATTCTACAGAAGATAATCATTTACCTTCATATTATAGTAAAATGTTATTTAATATAACAATATTTCAACATTTTCTAATTTATCAAACTTCAATCTATTGGAATGAGACATCAACTAATAATACTATTATTAATACGAATGAAAATGATAAAAATATAACAATGTAAGATTAGTTTTAGTTTTAATTCTGTATATCATTATATATACCTAGTTTTATAATATAGTATAACTACTTATAAAAGACTAGTAGTTGAACAAAGTATATTCTTTTCATTAAATTCTCTTCAGGTTCTACAATTATATATATCTAAATTAATAATCCCAAAAAATATGGTCAGGTTAAGGGCAAAGTACATCGTTTAAAGTATGTGATAAAGATTTTGAGATTTCCCGGCTATTAGATAAACTTAATGGAGTTCAAAACGATATTGTGATGACTGATGAAGCAGAAAATAATGGCCAATCGCCCTTTTTAGACGTACTTTTGAGTTGAAGAGAGGATGGTACTATAAGACGGTTAGTTTATAAGAAACCAACTTAGATGGGGCAATACTTAAATTTCCATAGTTTCTGTTCATTACAATACAAGCGAGGCTTGATTAAGAGTCTCTTTAGGAGGACTCAAAGATGAAAAGTTGTTGACTGGAACATTAATATCAAATGATTATCCACTAAAGTCTAATAGGTGCAAAAGTCAGTTAACGCCAAGACCTCTCATTTATTCGGTTCCAAAGGAAAAAAGTTTATATCCATCTACCGTATAGAGGTGAATCCAACAGCATAGTTTTAAGACAGAGATTGAAAGCAGTCATCGAGAAAACCTATTATGCTGCTCAATTGGTTGTGATTGAAAAGTCTAAGCTCATGATTCCGAATAGACCTAGACAATGCATCAATGATAACGTCACATCCCATTGTATTTACCAATTTTGTTTGTGTGCACACACATACATAGGGAGGAGTAGTAGAACAATGCAATCAAGGGTCATTGAACATGTGCCTAGATGGCTTCAAAATCAATGGGTGTCAAATGATCCGATCAGCGTGCGAGGTAGAAAGTCAGGTTCATCGATAGCGAAACATATAATTGAAACGTAGCACAAAATTGACATTAATGCAGCTTTTAGAACGTTGTATAGAAATTGTCAAGGATGAATTCTCTGGTTTATTGAAGCCGTGGTTATTCGTAAATTTAAACCCCCTTATGTGTACAAAAACAATTTGTCGTAACCTTGAATTTACCTTGGTAATCCTTAAGTCATTCTATGGCCTAGGATAACGCGACAATTCCTTATTATTATTAATCTTCCCTATACATGATTCATTCACTTCACATTCATTCCTCCTTATTACGTCTTACTAATTTTTCACACAATATAGCCTTCCATTAAATATTTGACCGAATTGTAATTGCACTATTATTTCTCTCACCCTATCTAACCCTTAATTATTCAGATCATGGATCATAAATTTTCACTTAACATATATGCAGATTCAAGTTAACATTCTACATGAGTCATATCAACATTAACAATTTTATTCTATTTTATTTATGACAATCCTAAATTCACATGCTTTAAACTATGTACTTTACCCTTAACCTGGGCATTTTTCGGATTATTAATTGTAGAACCTGAAGAGAATTTATCAAAAAGAATATTCTTCGTTCAAATACTAGTCTTTTAATATGATGGGAATCTTTAACGATTAAAATGTTGTTAATACTTTTATTATAAATTTATTATAGCTAGGTTAATACACTTATACTCATCTAGTCAAAGGGAAATTATCTGACAAAACATTTATTTCATTATTATATGTTCATATTATTTGTGTAATTTTAAAAACTAAAGATCACTAAATGGGTATTTTGTTCTAATGTGAAACTTTTTTTGACAGAAAGGATATACCATGAATTGAACTCTAAACTTTCAGATCTCACAGTGTATGCTTAACATTTTATCTTATAGGTTGAATTTTTAACTTTAGTCAATTCAACATAAAGCACAAGAGTCACTTTACATTATTAGTACAGATTGTTTAACTCCTGACATGATAGAACATTCTTAGTCATAACGTTTTGTAAACAATCTTAGAAACAATTGTAGCAAACAAAGCTTTTGTCATAGACTGTTCTCAATTGTGGTATCGTTGAGAATATAGGATCATTGAATAACTACTTTGTCCTAAAAGAGAAGTCCTCAGATGTACACATCCACAAATCCATCAGGAATAGAACACAGAACCTTCAGGTCTTATAGCAAATAACTAACCAATTTGCTATAGTAAGGTATTCACCTATGGACTTAGAAGTACTTAATCCTAGTAGGGTAGTAAGTGGCCACTATTGAAGAGCTCTCCAGTAAGATAAAATAGCTGGTCAGCACTCCTTGATTTCAACGGTACTCTCATTGTGAATAATCTGTGATGACTACATTTCATTAATTAAACCAATCTACAATAGGTGCATTTTTACGAATTAATATTAAAAATCTTTAAAAAAAACCTACATGTTAGTATTTTATAATTAAATCACATCAGAACACTAGTAAGTTGTAAATGAATTATGACGTAAAATATTGATGAAATGTTTAACATCAAGGTTAAAAACTGTTATTTTACTTCATCCAAATATTATTGGTCAGTGTACATATGTTATATCCCGGCGAGAATTATGAATGGTAACTCTTGAGATCTATTTATGGACCAATACAATACATATATTGTATTATTGTTAAGTGCATTAACTATGCATGTACATGTTCCTCTTATTAAAAGCTTTATTTTGACCCATAGACTATTATTATATGATTTAACGTTCTTGAGTTATGTCCAATCTATTAATTACAGTCTCCCACATTCACAGCCACTTTTGACGAAATCTTGTACAAATTTCATTTTCTATTTTGTGGTACGATGTGGTCTGTTTGGTTTGTATATAAATCCAGTATGTTTAGAATACATGATTAATATCGCGAATGCTGAGATTGGTGTTCTAGACTTCACAAGGGCTAAGTAGGAATAAGGACCGTTAAAGACTCTAAACTGCTCGTACGGGTTTATGCGTCATCGGTCATCACTGTTCTCCGATTGGCGGTATCCTTACATCATATATTGATAGGGACACTAGACCAAAAGTTATAACAACATGGACGTGAAGATTGTTGTATTTCAATTGAGATGATGAAGTAACTACCCAATCTCCCAAGTTTGGGGAAATTTAAGAGAATTTTGGGGAAATGGCACCAAAACCCCAAGTTCACTATAGCAGCTTCCGCGAAACGGGTCAAATTTTCGGATATTTATTAGTTGTTATAATAGATTTAATTATAATTCATCATTTATTGAATGAACGAAATGTTCATTAACTTATATAATCAAATTGTAAATTGAGTTTAACCATTGTTTGTTTGTTTATTCTCTATTATTAGAATTAAATAAAGGTGTTAAAGACATCTTTAATCTATTTTTAAAATGATACTTATCACTCATAATTTTATAAATTAGGAAGCTAGACAATTTCAAATAAAAATTAAACTATCATTTTCAGTAAACACTAACAAGTAAGGCAAGGTTGTTAATCTAATGAAATCTTTAATGTTACCTCACTATATTATAGAATTGGATTTATCACATAGTTTTTTAGTGGCCCTATATCTGACTCCAATTAGATCGAATGAATAATTGTTGTCAAAATATACATCCTATCTATCCTCGTATATAATTATCGAGTTAAATCATGTTAGTGAATAACGGAATTAAAATAAGCCAAATACGAGAATGAATTCCGAATATGTATGTTTTGTACACTAATCTATCTGGACAGACATTCAAAGTGATGAAGCGAAGATGAGAAAGAAGCAAAATAATGTGCGGTGGCGAAGGATTGTGAGCCAACTCGAATTAATCAAGCGTTCATCAGTAACTATAGCTAGATAAAAATAGGATACAGACATGTGATGAATAGGATAAGAAGTGTACACACCCATACGCTCATATAAAAGTCAGCGTTGACAAATGAATAATTAACAAGGTCAAAACGTGACTCAAGAAGAATGGGTAAATTGGCCTGACCAGAAGCTAGAATAAGTTATGTAAGCTTAACATAGTAACTGACACTACAAGTTAACTGTCTAATTTAAATGAGAAATTTTAGAAATTTTTAGTATTTTGTAATGAATATCTTTTTGTACTCAATATCATATGAAAATGAATATTGATCGTTAACCTCTTTAGGAAGACTGGACAAATGATTGCAATTTAGAGGAAGTTTTTCCCTAAGTACAATTATAAATAAACGCAAGTAGGCTGGATTTGTTAGCATATCACCTATAAAAAGAGACATAATTTATTTTCATCATGTTATTGATAAAATGTCTATTTCATACTGTAACTATTATTGTATTTGAAAGGCTTTACGTGTTTCTAATATTTAACTATGTAATTTTAGTTACGCTTAAAGCTTCATTACTTTTCAAGATTTAGTTTGAATAAGTCAAAGCTTCAACTTCAGTTCAAACAACTGGGTTGATTCAGCCTTACAAGGCGTCTTGTTATGATTCCTCACTGAAGTATTTCAAGAGTACTAGACCTTTGTAGCAAATGTTGAACGTTGATGTGATCCATGGCAATGATTTCACATTCAATGCTTGTTTTATGTAACCAAGTTTGAATCTGATAGGCGTTAGTAATGCAAACTGATTTTAAACATAACTGTTTATTGAAAGTACAGTATTTATTAAACACCGAACTAAAGAAATATATAACATAACGAAATTAAGTTTTAAAATAGCTTTCTACTGCTGAGATACATTCGAAGTATGTGTAAGTTTCCTCTGTTTCTAAGTGCTCTGAACTCAAATACGAGCTTAGATACAAAGAAAGATTTATTTCAAAATGGAATCAGATTAACATATAGATAGATAAATCGATAGATAGATATTCAAAACCCATCACAAAATTGAAATCATACTTCTCAGTTCTGTTTCTAATACAATTAATTATAGTCAGGATGTAAAATGTATGAAGTAATAAATAATATATTGTGGTAATTACGAATTCTTGAAGGTTCACAACCCACTTTTTTATAATCGTCAGTAGAGATTCCGTCTGTACTAATGCACAGGGTAGTAACCATGAGTTTATTTTATGTCTAAACCTTCA